CCGGTTAGGAGGTCATCGCATGCGGTCTGGTGACCGGTCTTGCTACGAGTGGCGGCCTAATTCTAACACTTCTAAGATCGTTAGATGCGCAAATGTCTCGCTCAGGATCACTGGTTGTTTACCGTGTCCTGCCTGTCCCTCAGTTCTACTGTGAGGTCTACCTACGTCACGGTGCGATCGACGCCAAGAAAGTTTGTTCGCATGTCGCCGACTGTTTCACTCTGAACCGTACCAACCCGGTTGATGGTCGAACGCTTTATGTTGGCGTATTCACTAGAAGGTAGCCGCTATCGACTCAGCAGTGAACCGTAGTCGATATGAATCTGTACATATTTCTGCGTTCCAGCGTTTCCGTTTATCGTAGGCCGATGATGACAATCAAAGGCGAAACTCTAGTGGCGCTTCCGAAATTCATCAAGAGTAACAAGTTATCAGATCATATCATAGTTTTTCATCGGATTTTTGATGCTCAGTCGACAGTGATGATAAAACTCGCTGCTAAACACATGTCATGCATAAAACAAACACATTTCTAAAAAGTTGAAGCGTGTTTTACGGAGGACTGAAAAAGCGACAACACGCTAGGTTCAGAGGACGGATTTCATACGTGGCACATCCTTCGCAGTTTCGGCCTACGATGACGTCAGATTAAAGACCGAAGCGCAGTGAGTAAGTATTAAAAATGGGGGTGGAAACGATGAAGTTCGCAAAATGAGTCACAGTGCGGTGCTCGACTGATTACAGCAGCGAAAACGGGTGTCACGTTCCTACGATTACCGCGTTTTCGTTGTGTCTACTACAGTCGGACAGTGATGCCGTCGAAGCACGCACTCGACTATGCTGGATACCGTTATCGATGAATTTTCACTTTTAACATACTGTTCCATTCTCAGACATCGCTAGCCGTTAACTCGATCCAAACGGATGCTGAAACGAGACGGTAGGTGATTACTTTGGAGGGGGCGATGCGATGCGATACGTCGATCGGTCGTGCTGGGAGCAATGGCTTTGCAGAAGTAACCAGTTTAGTCCAAAAGTCGACACTGCCACTTAATGGCAGTCGAATCGTACGCGTATTAGCGCAAGCAAGACATAAACAACGCGACAACCGAGTAAAAAGGGTAGCGGACATGTGAGTTTTTTCGGCCATCGTCGCATGAGGTAAACAGGGGCAGGCGGGAGGGCGGCCGGGCGGGCAAAGCGGTGGAACACCACTGGCAATCGATGCACATGCCGACATGCCGCACAGACGTGTAGCGATCAAGCGACCAGAAGAGAGTGACCTACAACGTACGGACAGGACGAGGCGAAGCAAAGCAAGGCAAGACAAGACGTAACGAAGACCGAAAAGTCAAGATCGAAAACGCCGGGAATTGTCGGGCAAACCATCAGCTATGTGCAAACTTAAGATGCCCAAAACACCAACTCGCTCAGCAACGACTGTTTCACAAGAGCTGGCAAAATAGCCGAAAAGCCGCACCAAGCGACACTTACCATTCTTGCTTAAATCCAGCTCGACCAGACTTTGCAGACTGGAGATCTCTGACGGAACCTTGAAAATCTCGTTATCACTTAAGGCGAGACGCCGCAGCTTCTGCATGCGGAACACATGCTGAAACGAGCACGTGTTAGAGCCAAGAACATGTGAAAGAATCTCTGAAAACTGATACTCCGACGAACGACAATGCCAACGACACGACGCACAGAAACACATGCTCCGGCGGAGTCGAAACGAACATGCACACACACACGCACACAGATACGGCAAAACGGAATTACAACAATTTATACACAAGCTTTCACTTTACCTTCGAAATCTCCTTGATATGGTTAGAATCGAGCAGCAACTCTTCGAGGCTCCTCGCATGACGAAGGATCTCCTCGGGAATGTGATTCAGATTGCACTGTCGCTTGTCGAGCGATTCAACATGCTTGTTAAACAAGGGAACGCAGCTAAACATCACTCACGGTACAGTTTCATGCAGCTGCGGCCGAAGCGAAGGAAACAAGACTGGACCACAACAACGTCATAAGTTTCGATGTTTTTCTCTAAAACGGGTAAAATTGACAGCCAAATCGAAGGCTAGCGCTACTTCGTGATACAGTACATCCACCCTGAGCGAGATATTGAAAATCAGTACACACTACTGTACTTTGTTATAAGCATTGATGTACACAGCGGTTTTAAAAAATCGCAGTTAAATAGTACAAATCTTTCACCACTGCACATTAACTTACTGCTTAATGCTTACTATTTCAAAAATATCATTTGCCATTCATAGCCTATTCTATTCTTACTACTAAACTGACCTGTTTTGCCTTTCTCGTTCTGAAGAATGAAAGCCTATTTCTTAGTTTTTGTTTTTTCGAGTAGGAAATGAATGAATCTTCGAATGATCAGAAAATTTACATTAGTCGGTCAGTTTTGATTACCGTTGATCTTTTTGGGTCGAGGAGGCAAACCTGCCAGACAATGCTTCTAACGTTCCCGAGCCTGTATCAGAATTTGAGTTTCAACAGAAGATTTCCCAAGTTTGTAGTAGGCTCTGTCAAATTCACTTACCCCAGGTAATTCTGAGTGATCATCGGGGTTTTCGGTAGATCAAATTAAAAGTAGCATCTGTTTCGCCTTTATTTCCAGAAGAATTCGCTACAAGCAATCAGCTTAGCATGTTCTGCCCCCAGATAAATCTTGAGATATAACGACCTAAAGATATTTCGTATATTTTGCACGATCAACTTCATCATTCGTTCGCTTTTCACGAACAATCTCCTTTCGGATCGCAGAGGCATACACAACATAAACATTGTTTCTAAAGTTTCAGATCGTGTGTCAGCGTCTGAGCTTCGGTAGTCGACAGAAGTCTCTTTCAATACATTTGCACCACGTTCAACTTTAGCATGAACAATTTTGGAAGGAATGTCGTGTGGGTATAAAACTGAAGATCTGTTGTAGTTTTATTCATATAATACATACCCTGATATTTTGCTGGATTAAGTCGCAGCGAGATATTAGACGAACCTCTAATGAAGCTGGACAGATTAATTTGGTAAGTGAGAAATGAAAGGATGTAATGGCTATGGTGACTTTTGTGTTATCTGCATATCTGATAAAGCATGAGGGGGCAGTGAGACGTAAGTCGTAAGTGTGCAAGATGAAGAGAAGGGAAGATAATACGGCACCTTGTAATACGAAAGAACGGCTGTTGTGAGGATTGGACGTGTGACGTCCGAAAGCTACAAACTGTTTTCTGCTTGTAAATAGTCATTTAGCTAGCGACGTATGCACCTATCCAATTTAGTTAGAATCAATTTATTCAAAAGTTTGAATTTCACGTTCCAGTATGACAGCATTAAATGAAAATGTTTCTACCTCGTTTCAGTATGTAATGTTAAGGAAAGTCTACGTTGCTCCCGACCGCAACACCTAAGATCTAGAAGGGTTTGTAGACTCATTGTAACAGCATTCCTGTCACCACCTGTTCAGAAGAATATCACTATTTTTGGCGGAAACTTCAATCGGCATGGTTTCGAGGCCTTTCTACTACTCGGCATGGCAAATCTGGTACACTTCAATACGGGGGAATGCGGCTCTCGATTGAATGCTTTCAAACGTTCCCGAAATGCATGCCACTCGCCAGATCGCTCATTTTGTAATGTTAGACCGCTGCATTATCGGTATTATGCCAACGCTTGGCTTGGACATACGCCCCAATGTCGCAACAAAAACGTAGGCATTACATCATCCCAAGACGGTGCTTCGCCGAGATATTTTCCCGCCAAACGTGGAGAAGCTCAAACAATTTCTCTCGTCTTATAACTGACGTAAGTTATCAAAGAACGAAAGAGCTCAAGAAGAGTTTGAAGCTGCTGTGATCAAGCTCACTACTGTGTTAACTGACAGCTTTGATGCTTTCTGCCCATCTCAGAAGGCGTTGGTCGCTGAGCGCCGCCATCTCTTCCAGGATGCTGCAACGCCTCCGCCGCCAAAAGGAAAGGTATATGGATTAGGCAATCGCAAGTTGTGTCGAGTTTTCTCCATTGCAGCTTAGAGTCAGATCTCTCGTTTCATCGATGTGCACATGAACCACTGTTTCATTGGTTCGGATCCAAAGGACCTGTGGCGAACACAAAATCACCATTCAACACAGTGAAGGCAAGGTTCTCCTCGTAAAGCATTGACGTTGAGCCAAATGATCTCAACCGCCGTTTTATTGATTAGAGAATGACAGTCCAAGTCCAGGCACTTTCTTTTCTCCAGCGACTACTGAGAAAGGAAACCTGTACAATTCACTGATGATGGATAAGAGAGGTGCCTTTGTACATCCCCACTTTAACGTGGCCTCAGGTCCTGACGGAGTCAGTCACTACGTTATAAAACTTTGTTCAGGTTAACTATGCAACATAAATTGCAATATTTTCAACTATTGCCTTCGCCACGCCCTAATTCAGGGCATTTGGCGACTGGCATCAATAACACCAATGACAAAAAGGAGAAAATCGATCAAAGGCGTTGATACGTTCCAACCAGTGGCGCTGACCTTTGCCTTGCTCAAGTGCCTCGAACATCTCTTTCAATCACTCATAGAACGAAAGATCGCTAATGCACTTGATCCGTGATAATTTGCTTACAGAAATGGCATACGGACCGAAGACGCCGTTGCTTCCCTAACAAAAGAAATCGACAACGAACTTGACAAAGGTGGCAACGTTATTAACTCAATTAACTCAACATTTCTCGATCTGTCGCTGACATTCAATACAACCCCTTGTAACAACGTGCTGGTTAAACCGAAGGCATTTCCATCTACCTTTCTATCATTCGATGCCTGGCAAGTTACTTTTCCCATCGTCGCTAGTTTTTCAAAATCATTTGTAACAAGTCTCTCGTCTTGACAAACAACGTGGGTGCTGTTTAAGGCTCTGTTCTCTTACCCTCATTGTTTAATCTTTTAACCAATGATTGTATTGGCAATGCTCTTCATAAATGTATTAAGTTTGCTGATATTACTATAGTCGAAAGCGTTCTGAAGTTGTCTAATGAATTGGGATAGCTATGAAAACGGTATAAGTAACTTTTCATTATCTTTCTTCTAATAAACTTCGTCTTAGCATCAATGAGACCAATGAGGCAATCTGCACGATGCGTGATACCAAAAGTCCTACACTCCTGAGTTTTTCATCACGCACTCTGAAAATATGCTACAAACATGTGATTCAAGTACAACAGGACAAGTACATGGGAATCACCTTATCGGTAGACCTCACCTTG